GATGATCGTTACGATTGTGAATGCATAGACGGCAGTTTCTTGTCTATCTTTATTTGTATCGATACTTCGCAGATTCTAAGCCATCACATTAGTAGTTGCCTGTGATATTACAGGAACTCGTAAATGCAAGGGAAATTATTACCCAATCCTCGAGGTACATAGCGCGACCGTTAATATCACGAAATACTTCGATACGCTCATCAATAAGTGCGAGACTTTCTCGAAAGAGGAGACCTTGTACTCCACGGGTATTGTCGCGAGCTGACTGATTAATTGCAGGAACTGTAGTCATGACTTCCAAATCTCCGTAGTTGTCGCCATGATAAACTGATCGCTCGTGATTTCGGTAATTGCCAGTACGAGGTTCAACAAATGTCGGTAGTTTATACCCATATTTATGTTCAGGAACAACTCGATTCAATCTGGCACTCTGGAAATTTGACCTCGATTGAGCGTGCAAAGCGTTTTGTATGACTTCTCTTTGAGTTTCTAGGGTTTCTAGAATGACTGAAATTTCTTGCTTCAGGTCAGTGATTCTACCTTGATGCTCCCTATTGATTGGATCGGCGTCGATATCAGATTCCTGGTAGCTTGTTAGATTTCTGAAGTGCTACTTATGTCGGAACACTTACCAGGGATATCATGTAGTCAATATACGTCGTACAGATGTCTGGACAAGAGCCCGTCAAATCTTGCGAAAGCTGAAAGGTTATGAGAGAAGCCAGATCGAAGGGTGCAAAAACAGCATATTCCGAAAGCTGGTATTTTGATAGTGACTGGAGAGTTTCCTTCATGCCTTCATTCATGAGATCTAGACATAAGCTCATGTGTGTGTACCAGGAAGACGCCATATCCTTTGTAAAAGCGAGAGCCATAAGTACATGTAACCATGCTCGAGGTAATTTTTCAGAGATACCGATTTCGCAGCGCTCAAGAGTTGGAACTTCAGACAGAAGTTCTTTGAAAATTTCTATGCGCTTTCCAATGAGCGCCATCCATTCAATAATTTGTTTGACGTCTCTCGTATCTACGATCCAAGCTCTATCAGAAAACCTTTGCGGCACAGACTTTAGATCATCATTCTCTAGAGATTCTTCTGTTTGGATCAGACCATACGGAAGCAATGCCTATCAATTAGCTTAGGCTAGAGTCAGTTGAAAAATGGCCAACTCACCACAGTTATCTCATATAATGGACCCCAAAACTCTTCAGTGGTAGGACCAAAATCCTGTGGTGATAGAAAGAACCTAAATAGAATTTCTGCAGCATTGGCAAGTTCTACTTGTAATTCGTATGTTGCCTGAAGCGATTGGTCAGTCTGAATCTTGCTTTCAACTTCAAACAAAATATCATAAAACTGTTCTCTTGTATGCCTTGGGCTAGCTTTATATGCAAATCTTTCTTTAATGTTAGTTTTCTGCAAAAGAAAATTATTGATTTCCTGCAGATCATCATGTAGTGAAGTTTCATTGATAATCGCAACTTTACGGGCTGCAGAATTTTTGGTGACATTTGCAATGATTGATTTGTCAATTTGTGTGTTCATCCAGTTGAAAACGTGGAGCTCATCAGAATAGTTCATTTCTGCTGCATACGAAGCGTCGCCAGATTTAGAATCCGAGACTTTCGTATTGTCATCTTCTTTTGATATTTTCAAATCCGGTTGGTGAGAGGCGCCATCCTTTTCGGGGGGTTGGCTTCCTTTCCCAAATCCTCCGATAAAATCACTCGGTACTATCAGAACTCCAGCTGGGGGCCTTTTAGGCTTTGAGCTGAAGTGTGTTAACAATGACCGAATACGTTATATCTCAAGAGACCTTACCTTAATCGAAAATTAAGGCAAACTTTTGAGCTTTTGGCTCGTTTGAAAATCCTCGGCCAATCCTTTGGTGCGATTGCGTGACCATCATACGCAAATTCAAATCTAAGTGGCCAAATCTCGAAGAAATGTTTTACAAAGTCCTAAGATGGTATTAGCTATCAGACGAGCGAGCTTCAAAATGTAATAGAATAAGCTCACAATCCATGTCGTGCATTCTCCAATGGGGAATGACCATAATGTAGAGCCCGAGTCTGACACCAGAAGCGTATGCATCGGATAATTAGGGGTGTCACTTCGGAATGGAGACATTGAAATGGAGTCTTTGGTCATTTGTGCTGTGGATAATCCAGCACATGATATTATGGAAACTAGAAGTCTAATCAGTCTTAAACATCTCGAAAAGAATGAAACTGGCTCTATTTACAGTCGTCTAGGATGAGAAACCAAGCCTGGCCGATATGAAAGCAAGACCCTGCGGGTGTATCTGGTAGGTGACATACTGCTTGCTTCAAGTCACGCTCCTTCGGTGTCATAGATTGCCGTGTTTGTAAGAGTGTCCTTGGGGGGTGAGATGAAGACTTTAGAATCGAAGAAGTGTATTTTTGCAGAGAAAAGTACGGTAGACAAAGCCACGTAAGTTTCCTTGGTTTAAATGTCGTGGATGGAATTTCATCGCGGAGCGACTCTTGTAGAAGCCTTGGAACTATATGCCCTACTTTAGTGCGGCTGGAGACCTGCAATGTTTTATGATATCTTCTTCTCACGAGGTCTAGTATTCTAGAAATACCAAGTCTTTCACCTTCTTTTAGTCCATCAAGATTCAATATGCTACTCTGAAAAAAACCATTAGTCATATAACGATTTACCTTTGCACTTGCCAAGAGACTTACATGGAAGCTGTCAAAATCCATTGTTGAATCTTCGAATTGACTTGGAACATCAGTACTAATCTTAAAACATGCATTAAGGCACTCACACCCAAGTAAAAAGAGGCGAAGGCAATTTTACAGTAGATCCAGCTTGCCCAGTGGCTATCCTAAAATCGACAGAATGCATTCCCCCCATAATTCCATCGCCGGTATAATGGCATTGTATTATCTTATCAATTTTAGGACGCTGTATTATCAATGATTTATGTTTCTGAACCGGGAGCGATGGTACTCCCTTCTCAGAAGTTACTGAATTCAAGTCATCTGCCAATTCTGACTCCAGCGCATTTTTACTATGGCGGGAAAGCCTGAAAGAATATGCCTCAGACTCGGGGTCGAATAACTCGATATAGGTTTCGGCAGTCTTAGTTTCGTGGATTCCATATCTGCCACCATAGCTACTTAAGTTGGGCACTCTTTCATGACTTGAACTTCGAGACCCATTGTATCGAAACCGGGTGGGAGATCTGGATCTGGAGTGACGTCTTTCCCTAGACCTGGTACGAGTAGAGTAAGGTTGTTCTCTTGCAGTCGCTCTTTTCAGGTAAATTTCGTCATCAGCTCCTTCATGAAAGAATACAGGAGGAGGCGCCGAACTGTAATAAGATGTCGCCTGGTCTCTGCGATGATTGACAGATGCTGTAGACGGACTCCTGTGACGACTTCTAGTAATGCCAGGTGGTGGTGGACTCGGAGAAACAAAGCGACTGGGCGGTCTGGTTGTCCGCTGATCATTAAAGAAATCGTGATATTCAGTTTCATCATCTATGATACCGCGTGAGGAACTTGGTTCAGCAACATGGCCTTGTTCCCCACCGCGTCTGCGGTAAACACCAATTTCCGGTATTTGTGTGGGGTTCTCATCAAACCGGACAGGTAATGTTTCTGCACGGCGAGGTCCACGAAGACGCTCGTGTAAATAATCATCTTCAGGAGGACGACGTGCCATGTTTCTTGTTCGAGGAGGAATCTGTTGCACTTCTCACTTGTGATGCTTGGGAAGCTGCTCGGTGGCCAGGTAGTCATTTTCAGCCCCAGTAAGCTGATAAGACGCCGAGTGTGTGATTAACACATATGTAAGGACACTGCACTGTAGAACTTCCCCTTACGTTAAACACTTTAAAAGACGTGTTACATGACTTGAAAACATGGTTGAAAAGATCACAACCCATTTTTACTTCTTGTGATGTTGCTGTATTAAACTCACAACGATAGTGTACTTCGTGTTACCTCTGTTCTACCCCTGTTATTGATAGAATGGAACATGATGATCACGTGTAGGATTAGACCAGTGTCACCACCTCGAGCTTGTGGCACGTCTTGCATGTAGAAAGCCACAAAATCAGACATCACCACCTAATGCTTAGGGAAATCACGAATCTCAAAATATGCCTTGGCCTTTTGGAAAATGGCGGAACAGGGAAATGAGCCATCGATTCCAATCTTCACAGCCCTGTGCGGCCTTGTTTTGGCGGTGGTAAAATTTTGAGATTGTACTTTCTAAGTTGCGTGATCACACACTTGCAATGGATCACTAAATCTAATCAACCCTTTCCTCTAAGAAATAGTCTTGACGATGGCTCAAGACTCGTCAAGACTGAGGATTAAGACTGAACTATGAGCCGGACTATGAGAGTCCTCCTTGACAACTCAATACCAATGGACTACATCTGGGCTCAAATCGAATACTGGACAACCCTCATCTTTGGACCACCAGTGGACCTAGGCCGTTCCCTATACTATTATGATAGAATTGTCAGTCTCTTTGCCTAAGAACAGTACCGACATATATTCGATCAGCTGAACACACGACTTAAAACGGGCTGACAACAGGACGAACGCTACCAGGAAGTCCTGATAAATCATCCTCTTCCATCATTACCATCAGAATTATACCTGAAATTTTATACTAGAAGTAGGATACAAGCGACCAAGTCTTTTGCAAGAACACGATTGCGACGTGATTCCATCCTACTGAGCAATCCCTGATCAGCCCTTGTGTCTTGAGCATTGAACATTCAGAAGCACAAAGAAAGATTTACGATCGGTACAAAGATTAATCAATGCCTATCAATTTTCTTTCGGTACTTGATCGTTGTTCAGAAACAATAGAGAGACAACAACGTTGGAGGGGCTTCCACTTCGTACAAAGAACTCATTATTGTTATATAACAAGGGCATTGTGTTACTGACCACAGAAGAAGTTTTCGAGAGACAGTTATTAGCCCACATTCTAATTTAAATCAGAAATGTCAGACGAAAGTATTCTTCTACCGACAAGCCCCATTATGGCGACGTTTGGCTTTGAGCTTGAATTCGTTGTGAAATCGGTGCCCGATCAATTTCTTGATCCAGAGCCTATTGATCCTCGTCGCGTACACGGTATCACAAGGCCCGAGAACTACCCTAAAGGTCTGTTTCTTCCGTACTTGGGATCTCTCGATGTAATCGAGGAGAATGAGGTACTATTTGAAGAAACACTAGACAAATTCAACGCACAGTTAGTTGCTTTACAGACAGACATAGCAAAACTTCTTACTGAAAATGGATTTCCAGCCGTGGCCCAACGTGACGAGGAAGAACCCGAAAACTCTAGCATTGAAGATTTGAAGTACTGGGTAATCTCTAAAGATGCTACCATTAACCATGGTTTGGATCCTAATCCTAATTTACCTGGGTATTTCTGGTGGCCAATTGAAATCCAAAGTCCAGCATACGTCTACAACGAAGAAAACAAGCAAAAGGTAAGAGATGTGCTTCAATGCATTGATTCAATTTATAGGACTAATTGCGATTTGAGTGCAGACATTCATGTTCATATCGGTAACGGGCAGAAAGGATTTAATGCTCGCACAGTTAGAAAATTTATGGCTTTCGTTTACACTTTTGAAAATCAAATCGCAGTTATTCACCCCCCTCATTACATGACACAGAGGGCGTTCTCAAAACCGGTAAGAACACATAGCCTTCTTGCGCAAGTAGCACGAGATTATCGAGCTAAGATACTAGAAACGGGAAGAGAAGAAAATGTGCGGGCATTCGACGAGGATTTCATCATAGACAGTATCCTGGAATTAGACACAATAGATGATATTGTGGAACGCCTATCAAGTCCCGAGATTGGGGAAGATCGCTTTTACAAGAGACTCACATATTCAATTTGCAACCTCGGAACAGGCGCAGAAAAGGTGAAGAAGACAATCGAATTCAGACAGCATAAGTCAACCTTCGATGACGAAGAAGTTTATCACTGGATAACTGTCTGCAGATCCTTAGTCCATTTTGCAAGTACCGTAGACGAAGAGGTGTTGAGAAAATTCTGCAAAGAAAATCTCCACAAGACAGTCGATGAATTTTCTATAGTTGAAGTCCTCATGGCTCTCGGGTGCCCAGCACAAGCTTATTACTACGGTATAAGGGTCTTTGCCGAGAAAGACGAACGGGCAAAAGAAGAGCGTAAGCTACGTAAAGAAATAGAGGACGAGAACCGCAAGGAAGAACAAGAGAGAGAGCACAGGAGAAATCTTGAAGAGCGACGTAGGCAAGAGGAGGCAGACCTCAAGATGGAGGAGAGAAGACTCGAGCAAGAAGAGAAGAAACGTCGGGAAGACAGAAAAGAGGAGAAACGGTTGGAAGATCTGTTGAGAAGATTCGGAAAGGGAGACCTCTAGTGAGAAGTGATCACAGAAATGCCACTAATTCATTCTCGAAGGATTCTTGGTAAGCACTGGATGCCAGATCAATCATAATTTCATCTCCTTTCCTTCAGGCCCCCTTCTAACATCCCCTTCTCTCCATTTCCATTTCTTATATATATGAGCCCCTTTGACTATTAGTTAATATCCGTGTAAGTACACCTTAATATAATTCATTCATGACAACCAATTTGTGTTTTTATATTGTTCGCTTGACATAATTGATATGAAATTTGCAACGTGGACTAACTTCCCTAACCCTTTACCGCCAACAAAAAGCCCCTCAATACCCACAAACCCAATCCAAACCTAACACAAAAAATATAATAAAACCACATCATGGACCATAAATTATAAACCACAACATCGACACTCCTACATACCATGCCGGATCATCACCTCCATCACGAGCCCCTCTTCTCCCCACCAAGCCCGCCTAACACCTCTCCCGAACCACTCAACAAACCTCATCGCCATTTCCCCTTCCCCTCCACAAATCTCTCAATTCTTCAAGGCAAACCCGCCTGATAGTAATCCTGCAACAAAAGTCCATTCTCAGTACAATACCCCACGTCCGCCTTTCCCCCATGCGCAAGCGCACATTTGAATCCATCACAGCATGGCTCGCCCGTTTTGTGACAGACGTCACCTTTGGCGATGCAAATTTTGCGTTTCTGGGTGGAGGTGTGTTAGTGAGTGTTTACTTGGAAGGGAGAGGGATTAAGTGTGATGGAAGGAGGGATTAAATGGGAGAGGGAGAGGGGGGATATTGAGGGATGGAAACATACAGAAAGCGATCCTTCGATTGCGAAGACTAGAGTTGAGAAAGCGAGGATGGCAGTGATGGTTGAAGGAAAGAGATACATGATTGCGAGACTGATTTTGAGAGGATTGTATTTTAGTAAAATCGAATTTGCTTTCGCTTTTGATTATGGTTTAATCGTGGATTTACGACTCTGTATGAAGGGTTCGTCTGAGTATTGATAAGACGTTGAATATCGATCAATGAATAGCAAGAATGAAAGGGAGAGAGTCTTGAACGAAAGTTTAATCGCCTCATGGATCGAGGAGAGGAATGTGTATCCACGTCCATGCCACTTCATCCCTTCTCTTCATTCCGTTCTTAATTCACATTCCACATTGTAATCAAGTTTTCCCCTCTAGCAACGAATAGGGGAAAACTCAGAAAAGAAATCTGTACCGTAAAGCTCTACTACGCCAGCAAATCAAGCTTCTGACGTAAAACAAAAAGATAACCCCTTCTTCCCCTCTCCCCATACCTCCCACCACTCAATACACTCGAAACACACCACACCACTAACCAAGATCCATTGGAACGAAGCCACCTTCTCAAGGCTCCTCTATTACAAATCTCCACACCCTTACCAATATCGATTGACTATGCAAAGAGTCGATTCCGCTACGAAATCCACAAGAAACCAGCTGTAAATTATCTGTCCCTTTCTTATCACTTCTCCTGGCGCATTTACAAACATGGTGATATCCAATTCAATAATTTCAATCCCACTATTTTTATCAAACTATGCTTGCTATGTAGTAAACCATATTGTATAAATAAGTACTCGATTGGTATCCAAAAATCATGATTCTTACATCTAAAAACACACCTTTAGAGAACACGATACTTCGATTCTATATAAGTACTCGAAGGTAGGTTATGATCATATCTGATGACCATTGCAAGACTAAATATGAATAGGATACAAAACTAAATGTTCCTAGTATACTTCAAATCAGAAAAGTTATATTCAACTTCCTCAAGTACTAAGGCATCACCAGCTTTCTCACTGACTCTTTTCTCATTCATCATTCTTAACCGTGACCGAGGTTTTTGAATAGCATTCATAGACTTGGCTTTATCTTCAAGATACTCTACGCTAGTAGAATCCAATTCCATCAATTGTTCGACCAAAGCCGCTTTAGAACCCTCAGTTCTTTTTTTTAAGTACTCTTGGAAGGCTATAGTCTTGTTTATAGTAATTATGTGTATGCAGTGAAGCTTGCGAAAATAGTATCAGACCAATCAATTATGAGCTTCAGAATGTTTCTTAATAGCAAGACCAAAGATTTCCATAACCGAATCTAGTCGAGGACTTCCGAGAAGAGGGATGAGATTGATGATTGTCATTGCCGCTGCTTTTTGACCGGAGTTTGTAGTTGAAGCAACACAGACAGACATACAGACGACGTTGATAGCAACATAAATATGCATGCTAGAACGATTACGAACATAATCGCTGCTAGGTTGTCCGACAATTATGTAATGCCATAAGAAGTCTGAGGTACATCAAAGTTACGATGCTTCCCGAGGTCATCTTTCAAACTTTGTAAATAACATGATAGCATCCAAGCTCCTTCGGAAAAACTACCCCAACCTCCTCCAGCTAAATTCGATCTAAGAAATCTCAGAACACCAAAATCAGCACAAAGACGTCATCTCACCAACGACGCCGTTATACTTTTTTTTTTAAAGCGAGCACTTCGTTAACAATGGGATTTGCTGCATATATGTGCCTTTTATTGAAGAGAGGAACCCATCCTTTGCACCTATTGGTGAATCATCAAATGAACGGTCGAATGCGGGGTCGTAGTCTCCCAATATATATCGAAAAAGTCGTGAGTACCTCAAATTTTGTATTAAATGATTCGGATCTTGAACTCACTCATGAATTAGAATTCTCGTAAGGCGATGGAACGAGGATATGATTCATCACACTTTTCGCAGTGAATTAAATCAAATACTCCTTCGATGTTAAAGGTAAGCACAAGGTTCAAAGGCCGATGCCCTTCTCACCCCGGGAGAAATTACCACATCTGGATCACACAAGTGAGCACACGTAACCACTTCCTTTCATCCTATCACACCCAGGTCCGACTTGACAACTTGCTATTGAAGTATCATAGTTGTCAAACCGGCATATATCTAAGCATTTTGCTGGTGCGAATTCGGAGTACCCCTGGTTGCATCAGAAGTAGGGCCCAGACTTCTGAGTGATAGGACGAACGAAATGATCAGACAGTCGCAAGAATGATGACTATTCAAGAAATCTTTCTCTAGGTACTTCTTGAGATACAAGTAACAATGTGGCGTTCTGTACTCGGCAACCCATTGCTCCATTAGCATCCTGATGCTACGCCATAATCTGCGGGGTAAAGCTCAACATCCATTTCGTTAGACAGAAGGGTTATTTACAAATATTGTCGGCCCAATCTTATAAAGCTCTGCCAGCTCAACCCCCTTTTAATGCCGTTTGCGGCCGCCAACTTAGCATCGATTCAGATTCCTTTCGCCTCCGTATCTTCACGCTTCTTTCAAAATCACTAGCAGCTGTTCCTTTAAGCTAATTATGCATGTCCAAGATGTGGAGCCGGCTTTCAGGAGATCAAATTCGTATCCTTGACATTCTTTCTCACGGCGGCACTGACTATACATTACCCATCTGCTGCGAAATCACCGTTGTGGCTCTTTCGAACAAGCCGCAATACGAGGCCGTATCCTACTGCTGGGGCGAATCAAATGAAACAGTAGATATCGAAGTGGCCGGCAACCCTCGATCTATTACTACCAACTTGCAAGCTGCTCTCCGCCATCTCCGGCTACCAGATAGGAAGCGGTCGGTGTGGATTGACCAGCTCTGTGTCAACCAAGATGACAACGAGGAAAGACTATCACAGGTCCACTTGATGTATAATGTTTACTCGCAGTGTAATCGCTGTCTAGCCTGGTTGGGGGAGATTGACCCGGAATTCTCGGTGGCAGATGCCAAGGCTGCTCTGGACCTGATTCTTTTTCTCTCAGATAAGAACGAAAAAGCGCCCATCCCAACTTCCATCTCGTCTGCAGACACTCCCACGTTAAAAGGATATCTCCGGGCCTTGGCATCCGCTGGCGTCGCTAAGAACCCATGGTGGAAACGCATATGGACGGTACAGGAGGCCATCCTCCCGAGCGAGATAATATTCCACTGGGGTCCTCTGCAGATCCCGTGGGGCTGTGTTGTTGATGCTCTTTATTTCCTCCACATGTACAAGTTGTTGCTGCTACGGCCACTGCTCTATCAACACAGCATATTTGAGACCTGGCCACTTTTAGACTATACAAAAGTCCAGTATGCCGTCATGATCTGGATCCAGAATGCACATGTATGGAGAGATTCTGCGTTCGATGCTGCCATCCAATGGCGGGGCCGCCAAGCAACTGTGCCACATGACAAATTATTTGGCCTCCGCGGACTGTGGCATCCCAATGTCGAGATGCCCAACACTGACAAATGCAGCTACGACACGAGCGTAGCAGAACTATACACTGCCTTTACTATTGACATAATCCTCGACGAGAACAGCCTAGCACTGCTAGAACTTGACCCACGTGTCGAGCGGGGCAAGCGGACTAGTAATATACCGAACTGGGCGACCGATATGAATGACTCTGTGGAGTATGGCGTCGACTCGTATTATCGGCGTTGGGGCGATAAACAGATCTATAATGCCTGTGAAGAAAACCGTTTAGACAAGCAAGCCCTCATACATGCAACAGCGGACCCAAACCACCCTTTTAATGTGCTAGGCTTGACGGGCATCATGATAGACACCATGGATGTCTTGGCCCCCGTCAGGCTAACTAATGGATACTTCGAAACTATATCCGATGTGGTTATCTCTCAGATGCTTCGGGATTGGATGGATCTCGTACGCAGCCGTGACCGACCGGGTAACTTCAGCGACGAGGCTTTCCACAGGCTCGTCATCGGCGATGCCATGCGAGATGATCAACAGGGGTTCAGAAGACGGCCCAACGCGGATGACTTGCGTCAGGTGGCCGACTTTGTTCGGGATGGAACCAGAGATGACCAATGGCTAGACGAGAAAATTATGCGCGCGCAGGTGCAAAACCAGAAGTTTTTTGTGACAAAAGGTGGCATGATGGGACTGGGTCATCTGGATACTGAGCCTGGGGATGAGGTACGGGTATTTGACGGTGGCAATTTTCCGTTCCTCGTCAAAAGACAGGAACGAGAAAATGTGTACGACTACGACTTTGTGGGTTGCTGTTACGTTCAGGGCATTATTTTCGGAGAAGCCTACTTTGGTGAAACCCAAATACCTCCCAAGCGTACACTTCGAATACATTAAGGAAAATCTGAAAATAATACGTACCTCATCTGTTCTTCGCTCTCTATTTCGTACAACTATGCGATTTAAAGAGCGAGAATCCTATTTTATTACTCATTTATCTGTCAGAGGCAGACTACTACATAGGCCTCACCCGTCATCATTAACCTGTTTTTTTCTTCTCTAGTGACTGCGGGGACAAGACAGCCGATGGTTTGTTCCTCCACCAACGTACTGACCAGTCAGCCATCAAATCCCAGGAACAATACCATGGTGATAGTACTCTGCCCTGCCAATATCTTAACTTCGCTACATAACCTACATCACCTCAAACAGAAAATGCCAGATCACAAACTATTCACTATCTACTCTCGAACAATTGTTCGAATTTCAGTCAACGATTAAGTTCATAGGAAAGAAGTTTGCCAGCTAACTTTACAAATTCTGATATCCCTGCAAGGGAACACATCCAAAACAAACGCGGATCGTTTAGATCTTCCTTAATACTACTCAGAAAGCACATATAATACAGTGTATTTGTTATCGTTATAAGAATACACTAACGTAATTTATCAGCATATGAGCCATATCAGCATGTGGGCCACTTCGAAAATATACTAAAATCAAGGTTTTTTTAATATTTATATTAAAATAATTAGTCATTATTTTTAAAAGAAAAAATCATAAAAAAATTATAATAAAAATGTAATATTTATAATATTTAGGTTTTTTTTTAATAATTTATTTTAGTTCAAAATTGTCACACTTTGTGTTACAAAATCTCTTTTTTTTTGATAACTTTAATACAAATTGGAATTTTGAAAAAGAAATTAAATTTTTGAAATATTTGAAAAATCAGGTTTTATATAATAGATTTTTAAAGAATACTATTGGCTGATAAAGAAAGTGCACGATTATATATAGACGAATTTTGTATATAAAATGAAGTGGCTCATATGCTGATATGACTTATATGCTGATAAACTACGTTATATCTAAGAAGGTTAGTAGATATGCCGATGTTTCAGATATAACTGCTTCCTCCATGTATTCGTGTATTACTATGAATCAGTATACTACCTACTTTTACGTTAATAAAAGCAAATTTATTTACTTTCACGATACTGATATTGACCTACATCTATCATTGTACTACCTAGATTCTAGTCTATCTTATTATATTCTAGCTTTCAATTATAAGATTAAGCTTCTAGTCATAGATTTACTTTCGAACCCTAGATTCTAGCTTTATATTATTGATTGAATTTCAGATATTAAATCTTTCCAGTTCCAAATATCATAGATTCTAGCTTCAAATAATACACATTTTAAGTTCGAAGTATAGCTTCTTGTCTTTATAAAATCCAAGATCACAAGAGTAAATCTAGACTAGTTGTAGTAAGATGAGTAATATGAGAGTCATGAAAAGAAATAGATATCTCAGCGTACTTTATTCTTCATAATAAGAGTTGTGGCCCCGGCTTATCGCACACCACCCTATTTCGTGATAAAATCCCTGCAAAAATGTTGTTTTCCTATATAAATTAATTTTTTTTTTAATTCTTTAATAAATCAAAGATATAATTTGAAAATTGATTATATAAATATTAGTTATTATTAATTTCCTAAAAAATGAGTAAATAATTTTTAATAATTTTTTGAATAAAGTTATAAGCATTTAAAATTAGAAATTTTCAAAATCTTTAATATATAATACTTTTTCTATACAAAAAAAGCACTTTTTCTTAATTTTTTAGAAATTCTAATTTTAAAAACCTATAACTTTCTATAAAAAATTATCAAAAATATTTTATTTATTTTTTTGAATCATTTTATTGATTTTCTATTATTTGTATTAATTTCAATAATTCAATCTATTTATATATCAAAATAATATATAATTAAAAAGTTGAAAAAATGAGGGTTTTTGGTGTGTTTTCGCTAAGTGTGCGATAAACCAGGGCCATAACTCTTACCATTTTCTCATTTCTCAAAATCCACGCAAAAATTCAATCAATATCTACAACCTATATACGCCAAAATATACACATTCACATACATACATACATACATACATACATACATATATGGTTATTTATTTCTAAACCCGAATGACATAAATGACATGAACGGAGCTACAACCCAGGTCAGACCAAAGATTTCTATCCCTTTGATGCGAGGCGTAGCTCTCTTCATAGAATATTATTCTAACTATTACTAGTATAGATAGACTAGATAGTATATATCGATATACATATATATTAGCATTCATACACACATATATCATATATACAAACACATACACTACAAGCCCCCATGAATCCATGAAAACCCCCCAACTTCAAGCTAGCCCCAGCCGCGAAACTCATCAATGCATTAGTCGAACTAATTTATCAACCTATCTATTAATCCCCTCCCCCCCGATCAATATAACCTATCAATCAATCGATTCATCCAATAATCAAGCTATCCTCCGATTACCTCTCCTCTCTAACCGAATCAACCTAGCCGAACCAAGATTCATCATAACTCATCATAACCCACTCAATCACCTACTTACCTCCTCACCTACTTACTTCCTCCCCCACTCACTCAACTCACTCAACTCATCCATATCATAGCCCCCCAAATTCTCTTTCTCGATTTCGATCGCTTATTCTGATCTTCATTCCCATTTCCATCCCTATTCCCATCATCCCCAGCTAATCTAAGAGCAAAATCTAGGAACCTACATTAAGCTAATCCAGCCCCTAACCCAACCCCCAGCACATCACCTACTCGCCCTCATCCTCAATAACGATACCGCAGTCTCCACTCCCCTTCCTTCCCCCTCTCTTTCACCCTTTTCTTTCTCTTCTCCTTCTTCACCCTCCCCCCTCGTTTTCCCCTTCCCCCTGAAAAACTCGTTAATCCAAATATTCCACTTACATTTATAAACTCATCGATTCTCCTCAAACCTCTTCTTCCATTCCTTATCCTGATCCTCCGATCTCTCCTTCCCAATCCCATACCCCTCCCATCCCCATCCATCCATAATAAATCCATGATAAACTCACAACTAAACTCGCAACTCCTCCACACACATAATATGATATATCCAACCATCCAATAACAAAACAGCAAAGAAAAATAGACCATCAACTGAGAAAGCGCTACACTATGGATTTAGGAGTGATATAGATATAGATGTAGAAGGAGAGAAGAATGAGAATAAAAAGGAGGGCAAATATTAAAGGAGAATAAGAATAGGGAGGATCAAAAGGATAAAAAGGGGAGGATGAGAAAGAGAAGAAAAATAAGAAGAAGAAGAAAGAGATAAGAAAAATCGACATCAAAAAATAAAAATAAACCATACCTAATCACCATAATCAACCATAATAAAGATATCCCATCTCATCTCGGCATTGAGAAATTTATCTTTCAATACCTACCTATATATCAATCAATACAAGCTGAGATTTGCACATTGATTTTGGGAGTGGTAGATGGGGTTTAAGTCTGTTTGTTTGTTTGTTTGTTTGTTTGTTTGGAGCTCGAGTTCTTGGATATATTATATCATATTATATATATGATGCAAACAGTTACTCATATACTAACCAACTAACTTACAATTGTATTCATTTGCACATTTACTATTTATCAGCACTCGCATCCATTTTCCATTCCATTCCATTTATCAACATTCAAAAACTCAAGAACCCCCCTCTACAAATAACAACAACAACAACACCAACCATCAAAATACAAACCTTCTTCTTACTTAGAATCATCCATCACATTCTACAAGAGAACAAGTAGAAGAAGTACCTCTATAATGTTCATCTTTGGAATGGATTGCTATCTTGTTATTTATACCTAGATATCTACTAGCTAGCTACGTAGCCAGATATATAGAGAGGTAAGTAGTAAGATACCTATTGCGAACTTTCCTGCACTGTCATGTCAATATTGGGATTTATATCGAAATCAAATCAATCATGTGGATAGAAATATACAAATATGTAAATAAATACATGAATCGATGAATCAACCAACAAACAAATCAATATCACATCATCCATTTCCAAAGTGTTCATCAATGCAGTGACTCGCAACTGGAGAATATTCACAACTCGAAGATATATGCGTAACTCAGTAGAGAGCTAAATAATGTATATAGTATACCAACTCGAGAAGGATATCAATTTCTTTATATAAAATTCGATCGAAACCGGTGGATAAGGATACGATTATACATTTTGATTGATGAATCTTAAGTACCTGTTATTGTAGCATTTGATATATCAATACTCTCCGCTTGTTTACAGCATGGTATTGCAAAGAAAGATGTACGAATCTAATCTAGAAACTGATTCTCCAAAAGTATTACTCTGACAATAGATCGGTGAAGATAAACCAACATGATGAAATTTTTAGGTAGGTAGGTATTCAAATCAATATACTCTTCCAAAGCTAAGTCTGATCGCACCGATACGTACACTTCTCATCTTGCAATTCAGTATTTGTAATACAGGCATTGAAATCAAATTATTTGTTCCCACGTAACGATTCGTGATACATATATTGAGCTTGGTGTCTAGAAAGTAAGTACCGAAGTCTGTGCTTGCAGACGGTATGTTTTACATGCGAGAAATTGTTGGAAAGAGAGGCTTACTAAAATGATGTGATCAGGAACGTGTAGAGTTTGGATATTAACATTCTAGAATTGAAGATCTTCATTAACCTTAACAATGGCGAGAATCCATCTTGGAATCTGGGATGCGGGAGAATGTATATGAAGGTGTGGAAGAAATCGAATCCATCACGATTTACTCAACTCAACCCACAATTGAAAGAAAAGGAAAACGGAATATTTCCTCGCCGTGATATTCAAACATGGTTTGATTGGAAAAGGTGGGTAGGTGGGTAGGTATACTGCTTTACATCTTTGAATCTTCATAGATGCGATTGGAGTCGAGAAGACCAATAACCCATGTAAATATAAATGAAACACACGTGATGATTTCCACGTGTTTGAAGAGAGAAGTTTGCATTGCATGAATGAATGAAGGTCAAGACTCTTTGTTTCACGGGACGATTATCCGTTCCACTTGAGAGGATGACGAGGATCGAATTGAAGATGTTGTCGGTTGATGATATGGAAGATAGATGTATTTTCACACTTGTGAAAATTATGCGTGTGCAGTGAGTCGTACTTCATTGACGCAATACATACTGACTGATACTGTGATGGATTGAATTTAAATCATGATCTTCGTATTCTGTGGACTTTCCCAATCCTAGTAAGGTAATGCGAGGGAGTGGATGATTAATTGATTAATTGACAGAGGTAGATGGCTATATATATCATCTCGTATCAACTCGTATCGTATCGTAGTGTAGTGTAGTGTAGTGTAGTGTAGGTAGTTGAGAATGATTGATATATGGAAGAAAGGCTGTGTAGGTAGGTGACGGGTATATAGTTGAAGTTGGGTCTAGAAAATGCAAACTTCCTCTCCACATAAGGAGGCTCATCGTAATATCACATCGGTTGGTAAGCTCTTGGGATTTCTAAGAATAGGATCCGATCCCACATGGTCCATACTTTTTGTGTGGACGAGGTACTTCCGAGCCCCTTTGCGGTGTTGTTTCATGGGATGTTATGTGCGAAGTATCTTAATGAGATTTGATATTGAGATTTGATATTGAGATTCGAGGTGTAGAAATTTGTAAGTACGGAGTGTTGCCGTTGGAAGGAAAGAAATAATCGTGTGTGTATTATGTGTGTGTATTATGTGTGTGTATTATGTGTGTGTATTATATGTGTATTATGTAAGTAGGTAAGTGCAGCAGAGATAGTTAGTAGTAGTCTCGATAAAAGAGTAGTGTGGTGAGAGATTGCGTTGCGATTGCTGATCATGTTTTATCATGATAGACATAGCTGCGTACTAGGTAGGGAGCTATGATTTTATCATTTCATCACCAGCTCGCACGATTGTAAGGGCACTCGCTATGTGACTCCATTCTCACGTATCCTTCGTATGTGTATAGCGATATGGGACGAGACAGACGAGACAGACGAGACAGACGAGACAGACGAGACAGATACCAAAGAGAGAGAGCATGGGCACGAGCGAGGCAAGGCCCAGGCTGTGTTTGGCGCTGTAGGATTACGAAGTAATTACCGTGTTGGGTAATTCACCTGTAACTCACCATTCACCTGTCTGTCCCATTGTTTGTAACACTACACAGTACTGTCTGTACTATGTCAGTTGTGATGAGTCCTTTTCCTCATACATATCGATGCTACTTTGTATAACTATATCCTCTATCGTTCTCGGTATATCATTTACCCATGATGGAACCCTAGGGTTGTAGCTCCAGATGAAAAGAGATAGACTTTATTTTGTTGATGATGAATTAACCAAGTTAGTAAAGTAGCTAGATAGATAGATAGATAGTTAGTTAGATGATTCGTACATCGCTGGTGAATGATTAATCAATTTCAGAGACATTTCGCATGATGAAGTTTCTTCTTTGGCTGGATGAAACGGTTAACGGACAATCTTGGGTAGGTGGGTGGGTGACCTTTGGACCTTTTGAGCATTTGATTGAGATGATGGGGATGACTAATACGAATACCGGTACTGGCTGGTACCTGTATATTAAAATGAGTCTTTCTTGGCAAAATCTCCAAAGATTAAAAAAAAAGTCGTCAGTCAGTCAGTCAGTCAGCTTTTCTGTAACATCATCCGTTTACCGTTCACCTAGCTGTCCACCGTCCCAGGGTCCAAAGCACATCGAGCGGAGTTAATGGTAATACTTCCGGATGAGAAGGCTGATTTGAAGTTTTCCTTTCTCCCGTTGGACTTTTACATTTGATCGAAATATCCGATGGAGGATGAAAGACATTAATTTGGTGAATGGATAATCAGAAGAACATAGCCTTTTCCTTTGGTGGTGGTGTGTATATGTTATATAGATATTGTGGGTAAAATAAGGTCCAGCTACCCAACTTTCTCCCAAGATACTTTTGATCATGACTAGGTAGGTATGGTATGGTATGGAAGGATGATATGATATGATATGATATGATATGGATGATGGATGTTTTGGATGAGAGATGTTATGTTATGGATAATATGGTATGGTATGGTATGGTATGGTATGGTATGGTATCGAATGGCGATATTGCACACCTGCACAGCCTCTTTTACTACTTAATATTATTAACCGTTATATTATTATTTCCCTACAACTTCCCTACAACTTCCATCTGACCAAGCTGTGACCCTCTTCCTCACACACACACAGTACCGACTTTTACCAGGTATTATCATAATATCATCGTCTCTCTTTCTTTCTCTTCTGACTTCTCTCCCTAACAAGTTCATTGGTGCATCCATCACATCACAAACCACCAACAGTCCTCCAACAACCCCCTCCCCCCCCAACCTTCTACGCCTTTTCTTACTTCATACTTACTATTTACAACGCCGCCGCAGTTCAAGGATCCGCACTTGCTGCACTGCACTGCACTGCACACTATCTTTGCCCTTGAAACTTTATATTCCCTGTCTTTTAAACCTTTTCGTTTCTTACTTCCCTCCCTCACTCATTCACTCTCTCTTGTTCACCTTGCCATTTCCTACTTTCCTATTTCCACTCTTCCTCGAATCCTTCTTCCCTCCCCCTGGTGCCCTAGACCATTTTCGACTCTTTCAAAACTTCAACTTCATGCACTGGTCTGCTACCTAGATTTCCGCTTTCTCTTTAGGCAAATCCAACTATACACAAATTGTCGCAACTTCGCACATCCATCCATCCATCCATCAACCTTCAACCTTGGTCAAGAAAAAGCGATTCGATTGATTTTGATACCCATTGGAGCGAGCGATACAGTCACCATTAAGATTTAGAACAAATCAATTCCCTTTCATTAAGATACCCGCCCTTGTACACGCCGGTCTACAAAATTGGCCGATAGATTTACCTGTTGTTGGATCCTGTCAACCACAGTCGCCATTTCCTTACTTTCTATCCGCTGTGATTCATCACCGAATTTACATACCCTCTCCCATTAGCAAGACGACTACATATTTACGCACCTTTCCAATCATCAGGACGACTACACATTACAAGAACTGAGAAGGAAAGAGATACATGAGGATTATTGGAGAAATTTAGAATTCGACGGGACGTAAAAACAAAACCTACGCTGGCGACGACGGTGCTCGAGTTGTCGAGCTGTGCCACAGTCGATCGACAACAACCGCAGTGATGTTCATCAACACAACATGCAACGTGACGCTGGATGATATGCGAAGTATGAATTCCCTTTACCAAATAATGAGGAAAAAACACTGATGATGATGGTAGTTGGGAGGTCGGAAGAAGTGTTGGTAGGAAACCTCACATTCCATGAATTGGGTATAGTTATTTCCGCGGCGACGGCCCTGATCGCCATCCTTCTCTCACTGTATCTCATGTGGATGCATGCACTGCATTATACAAAGCCCTATGAGCAACGACAGTATGTGTTTTCAGCCATGCACTCTATGCATATATACTAACCGTCGGTAGCATCATCCGCATCCTTTTCATGGTTCCGATTTATTCGGTGGCGTCCTTCCTTAGTTTTTGGCAATATTGGCATGAGATATATTATAGTGTGATATCAGAGTGCTACGAAGCATTCGCCATCGCCTCTTTCTTTGCCCTTCTATGTCATTATATTGCTCCAGATCTTCACAATCAAAAGATTTACTTTCGAACCGCAGTTCCGAAGCCATGGGTTTGGCCGGTAACTTGGATGTGGAAGTGTTGTGGTCGTGATAAGGGTCCTTGGAGAACACCAAGAAGTGGTTTGACATGGTTCAACATTGTATGGGCTGGTGTCTATCAATACTGTTTTATTAGAGTGACCATGACCATTTTAGCTGTGGTCACTGAATACTTTGGCAAATATTGTGATTCTTCGGACTCTCCAGTATTTGCTCATATTTGGGTAATGTCCAATTTCTTTACTGTGAAAATCCCGCTAACTTTTCGATTTTCTAGATTCTAGTCATTGAAGGTGCCGCAGTAACAATTGCGATGTTTTGTTTGATTCAATTCTACATTCAACTCCGTACTGATCTTGCTCCACATAAACCTTTCCTTAAAGTTGTTGCCATTAAAGCAGTCATCTTTCTATCCTTCTGGCAAAGCTTTGCCATTAGTATTCTAATGTCGTCTACCATTGGTATTGTTACGCCAACCAAATATTTAGCGTATCCCGATCTGAAGATTGGTATCCCCAACATGTTACTCTGTATCGAAATGGCCATCTTCTCGGTTTTGCATTTGTTTGCATTCCCTTGGAGGCCGTATGCTTCAGATGCGGCACCGGTTAAATACCCAAGTTCACCCGATGGTGGTTTAGAGCCGATTGGTCCTAAGCAAGGTGGTCCTCTCGGAATTATGGCTTTCGCTGACGCTATGAACCCATGGGATCTCGTCAAGGCATTTGCTCGAAGTATGCGTTGGTTGTTCGTAGGTGTCAAGCATCGAGAGACCGATCCTTCCTACAAGCCGGCCTCGTACAATAATGATAACGACATGTCTCTTCAATCTACACACTCAGAACCAGATACATCATACAAGGGACGGGATGATGGTTTGCCGATTGCCAACGAGTATAGACAGAATACCTTCGGTAGTAACAAGGGAGCTATGGAAGGTGAGGAAGGAGTTGGTCTTATTGATCACGCACAACCTAACCCGACAAACCTAAACCATTCAGGCTATATTCCAGCAGCTCAACGTTATAACTCGGAAGGATTAGATATCACCGCGAATGGTGCGCGATACAACAACCCGGATCGCCTGATGACGAACAATCCGAGTCCCGGCTCAATACGGAGGCAGGAGAATCCTATTGGAATTGCAGTAACAGGAGAACCAGAACCATACTTGACTCAAGTAGCACAAACACCATATGTTACGCGACCGGTATCACCATACAGTGTACGACAATTATCAGAACCAGAAAGGTTTCTCGAGCAAAAACGAGCTCAGCGAGCGGCAGAAAAGGCTGCACGAGATCGCGCTGATCAAGAAGCACGTGAACGAAGTGCAGCGCCATCAGAACAATGGGCCAACTCAAGAAGACCTATACACCCAAATGAGCCACCGAGCCATGTTCATAACGCATTATGGGGATCACAAACGCAAGCACCCCCGAACACGGATAGATATTGATAGGGAAAGATTCACGGCCTATTGTATAAAACTTTTTTTTTTTTTTTTTTTTTTTTTTTTTTTTTTTTATACAAACATACTCGATATGCGTCTCATCAAAAATTGGGAAGCTTCAATGGATGCTTACTGCATGTAACATTGGGAACGGGGGTAAACTTTCATGGAAAGGCGTTGGACGGTGTTTTTTGATGAGGGGAAATTATGATTTGATGCGCTTGCGCCAATATACATTCGTGCGGCATCTGCCTGACTTTTTTTTTGAGGGGATAGGGTAGAATTTTGGCTCCTGAGCTGGTTGTGTTTGGTGGCTGTATAATCAGCGCCAACGCAAAGTTCATTTGTTATACGTTCATTTGTGAATAGGAACAAATCCAAAGGCTCAGGGGCAATTGGAATATGGTAATTATTGAGCTGGATTCATGTGGAATACCAGGTTAAGGCGTTTTCGAGATTGAAAATGTTAGTTGGAATTCATAGCAATTCGTAACATGACAATTCGCGGGGTGGGAAACAAACATGGAGGGAGGGAATTGGAAAGTTTGTGTGAGAGTTAAATAGTAAACTGTTTGAGGAGCTTTATAAATGGTGCAATTTTTAGTGCTTGAATTGTGAGGACTTGGTAGGAAAGTGATGTGTGTGTGAGGTGAGGTATTGTTCTGAATGATGTTGACTCTTGGTGTATGGCGTGAGAGATAGTGGTGGTATATACCATTGTACTATGAATGTTTTGGGAATGAATGATATGATAGGAAGGAGAAATTGAAATACTCTTTTAGGTGGATAATAAGTATCTAAGCATACCTATGTGGATATATCATTATATTATAAGGTTATAATGAGAGTGTAGTATTTATGTATATGTATAAATATATATGATTATTTAGGTAGATAGGTAGGTAGGTAGGTGGGTAGATTGTAGATGTAGATGGGAAAATAAGAAAATAAGCGAGGGGTTGATTGGTATAGGTATAGAAGGATGGAGATGGGAGATGGGAGATGAGAATATCACTCTTGCCTTACTTACCTACTTTCGTTTCCTCTTATCAATCTCCTTTAAAGAAGCCTGGAGTTTGGAGTTGTAATCACAAGGTATTATTAGTAGTGTAGTATGATATCTAGAAACTAGAAAGTGGGAATAAAACATATTTTTTTTTATCTAGAGTAGATATACGAAAGTATACTATACGGATATATTAGTTAATATGCTTATATATAGCTATATGAAAGAATACTATAATGGCCATCAGACTATCGAAATATAACTCTGTGTATCCAGATAATTCTCAATATATTATATCCTGTTATCTTTGATGCAATTATACAACCGCTTTATTGTAAGTCAGGGTCCGTTGAGATCGTCTTCTGTGTTGAATTAGATGAATTATTAGGATCTCGTATAGTGCTCGCTTCGTTTGCTTTATGGTGGTAATTATTGTATCTATCCAGAAGCTGCGCAGAGTTCTTGAATTCTGGATTTATGTTTTGCGAGTAGAGATTAGAAAAAAATGAAATAAAAGTACTTCTTTTGTATGTGTTTGTACTTGGTCGACTGCTAGATGATCTATTCATTAAGTTCCTTGGGTAAGATTTCAAGCTGTATTTGTTTCGTGCGACAGTCTAGAGTATCGTTGATATATGTGGAGTTTCGATTTTTGTTCGGAATACAGAGTAAATATTGGGGATATTCCATCTTGGCTTTGATGGTAGATGCAGGGTTTGATATGTAATTAGTGATATATAGGTATCTATATAATGAACGGAAGTGGGATAAAGAAGAACGAGAGATTGTAGTGCTGAGAGCAGTGAAAGATGTGGGTTTGAAACCTTGAACTATTCGAGAATGCTTGAATAGTTCTAGATAGTATCATATCCTGAACATTGTCGATAGACCGGAGAAATTCAACCCTTAGAACAGCTTTTTCTGCGAAGACGAATTCGGAATCAGAAATCTCTGGTTACAATAGGTGGCTGGTTTATGAGAAGCTTAATGTTAGATCCAAAAAAAAACTTACATGGCCGTGCTACAAGATTCTAGGCACTATGTACCAGAAATGAAATGTAGAAGTGTGGAAGTAAATGATAACATCGGAGCAGAGGTCAAATAAAAAGCTCTTTGGTATGCTGGGGTGAATTGCGATGAAGAGTATATCTAAGCATGAGGAATCATCCCCATGATATTGAAGTGCTAGAGATTGAGATATCCGAGAACTGTGTGATGCTAGTGGCTCATTCCGAAAATGGCATCGAGAAAAGTGATGGGATCAATTATACTAACTCATGAGAAGAAACAAAGAATTCCAATCCGAGTTTTTCTGTAAAGCAAACTTCATTCGGGAATACTGCGCTTGATTTGAATCGTCGTTTCATGATATGCGGATACTGAAATGATATCCAATACTGTAGAAGTACTCGATGGGCATGCGAGAATGCAAAAGAAATAGTGAATGTATCATTCATATCCAGAACAGCAGTATGTAAACTCACCGACGAGAGTCAATGGTACCTCTATCTTCTGAAGGAACAACCGTAGTCAACATCTCATCAATTCTTCTACCTGAAAGGTGCAAGTTATCGTGAAAGTTTCGAAAGATCATCTGTAGCCACAGTTCAGGTCCCAGAAGGGTTACGAATCTAGATTTGATATGCCGGAAGATTCCAAGACTGTTTGTCTGTCATGTATTTTTCAATCTCGTTTCCAACGTCAGTGTAGGCAATAGTATTTCCCGTATTCCGTATACGGGTTAGTTTAGTGGTATGTATCGAATTTTTTCGAAATACATATATATATAGTACAGAATTCAATACCACTGAAAATATTCAATATCATCTAGTTATTCAATACTGTTAGCAATATACTGAAATACTGGAATTCAATATAAAATATATATTTCTATTTGTATTAAATAATAAGTTTCCATTCCTTATTTCAAACTAAATGGGAATCCCTTATTTCTAGTCTAATTTGAATAGGAATATATATTTTATATTGAATTCTAATATTTCAATATATTGCTAGTATTCTTTAAATATATAAATATATATAAGAATAATATAATCTCCTTTATATATATACTAACTGCAATATTAATATACTAATATACGCCATAGTTTCACTATAGTATACTATTGCCTACACTGTCCAGCGTTCTCTTGATTACTACCGCAGTGATGTTATTCAGATTACTCTTCTCTTAGAGAAATAGAATGGGACTGCGTCTCTCGATATAAACCTCTGATTTTGGGCGTAAGAGAAAGCGTCGTGGCTGTAGATTACTCATGCGGTCCGGCCATCAGTGAATTTATGGACTGATGGACAGTGCAAATATAGATTTGTGAGTATTTTTTGATATATCGATTCGTTTATTTTAGCACTTAACACTATCATTAACTAGAAACAAGATAAGTCAAAATGTAAATTATGATGTCAAATAATCAAAGAATCAATTTACTAAAAATATCGAAAGTTAGGAAGTGTCCCGTCGATTCATGTACTCACTTGTGAGCTATATCCAAAACTTCATCAAGGGATATGCGAAATTTTCCGCGAGGGAATCGTAAATTATCTTCATATCCTCGCAAGTTCTTCAACTGAGCCATCTGCGTGATTGCCAGCGTCTATCTCTGCAAAAGGGTGCCTAGGTTCATGCTCGTACTGGGGATTAGAAAAGACATCAGTGTCTTCTCGAATGTAGGGAACATTGTTGCTAGAAACTACTTTGTTCTCTTCCAAGTATTTCCCTGTAGGTTGAAACGACGACGGGAATTTTATCATTGTCATTGAAATCTACAGATGAGATCGATGTAAAATCGAAATTGCAGATCTGAGATAGGGGGAAAAGGAAGGAAAGCAAACGCAACCTTTGTCTATACGTGAGGGGGTGTTGTCAAACACATATTTTTGTCACAGCAAGAACTCCAATCCACAAAATCGACTTAGAAAATCTATGTAACATATAATTCGAGATATGAATGTCGGTTACAATGTAAATAGGCGTCGTTCATCATGAGCCTAGTAGTAACCTTTTGCCATGTATGTAACTAGAATACTAGAAGACGACGCACATTTTGCAAAGAGGTGAAGGTAGTTCGACATTGACGATAATTAGGTATCCGAAGATCGCTGGCGGCCAGTACCGAGGCCGGTAACGGTAACGGTAACGGACAATTGCCTTATTAACCCATGAATGGATTTTGAGGTGAGATTTGAATGCTTTGTAAGGTATTTGAATGATTTTAACCCTGATTATCAGTATACGAAAACAACTTCACTTGAGATGTATTGAATATTTCAACTCTTAGAATTATTGTTCTACTTGCTAATGATTTACAGCTAGTTGAAAGAAATCCAAATCTCCATATTTTTATTCTAGGTTCAGCGGCTAAGCCAATCATTCCTACCGGCCTCGGGACAGTACCAGACGGGAAGGGGAGGGAAGAAGAAGTTTGCGACCCAATCTTTCTTCCTTTACGTATTTTCGAATTAGGTGATGATAATTTCGAATAGTGATAATCAATGAGTAAGTGATTGCCTCTTTGTAGAAAGAGTTTGTAGTTGTTTGAGTGAGAGGGTGAATGAATGGGATACATATCGTTAGGCACTAGACAAAAAACAATCACTCCCAAATACATTTTTCACGGGTCTTCGGAGACGATTTGTATGTGTAGTTGAGAGTTCATGATAAATTGTTTATTTTCATCTAAGTGTGAAGTATGAAGCCAACAACCATTGGAACTACCTAGAGCCTAGAACAGCGTGGAAAGGTGTCCAGCAATAACTCACCTCGCACTTGCATTTTGAAAACAGATCTTTCAAACCCTTACCACGATTATTGATTATAATAACACGATAACACAGCGAATCGCGGGTTCAATCAAATACTCAATCTTCCGGGACATATCCAACTACCAGAAGATCGCAACAACATCACGAAGGCCGATTGGTGAGTCAACCAACTGAGTGGTATATCGTTTTCTGGATCTTTTCGGCCACGACAATGTGCTTCACTGGAAGATTTTTTCTAGCTGAAACTATGATCATGAATGAGTATCAAAGCTATCGAAAGTGTGGAAAATTGGACCAAATAGTAGACCATCTAGCTGATGCCTAATTTTCACTGAAAAATGAGCGATGGGCCGACCTACGATCCGGCCTTGAACAAGCAGGCATCAGACCCATATCTAATGTAAAGGTCAATATCAATTCGGATATGATATCTATTTGGGTGTTCGGGTGGTCGTTGACCAGGGCAACCGTACTTTTGATCGAAAATTGTGCTCACGTCCATCGACACCACTCAGACCGGTGAAAAGTGAAGAAATTTAATCGATAATGGAACTTTGTGACGTTATGTTGTGTTACTACCTACATTCTGGTGGAGCTGAGAGATTTTGTGGGATGTATAAAAGCACGACTCTATCCATCAATAACAACATCATCACAACAATCAACTCAAGATCACGACAACTATTCACTAGTTTAAACTTCTCAAGTTACAACCTTACAACCCGAACATAGCTATCAATATATAAGAGTCATCTCTCCTCATAAACAGTAATTACGGAATAAACGAATCTACAAAATATCTATTCAGATCCAACCAAAATGTCAAGTTCGAAGGAAGATATAACTAGGGCAACTATTGCAAGGCTTGAAGCGAACGAAAAAGTTCAATACTACAAGACACATTGCGAGAATGTCGAGAAGAACAAGGACCGGGCAGATGTTAAGAAATATTGGAATGCAAAAAAAACTTTTGACACCACAAAAGTCAAGGATGCGGTGAAGAAATTCATAAGCGCCCGAGGTGGAAAGGCTTCAAAGAAAGAGCTTGACAAGTTGAGGAATGAAAATAAAAATATTCCGGCCTTTGAGGAAGCAGAAAAAGTCATGAGTGACCTCGCCCATGAGGACCACGTGAAAACGCACCGCGAGGCAGAGGGAGCTAAGACGATGATGGAAGAGGTACCTGAAGTGGTGGAATACAACATGGCTGTTAAGAGCTTGAAAGATAATGAAGAGAAAAATAAGGCCAAAAAACTTCTCCCTCAACCTAAACCGCGTGAAAGGAAGCCTGATGAGAAACTTCGATTCAGCAAACATCCATGGGGGTGGGAAAAAGAAGAAGGGTATCTACCCATGAAGGCTCCTATGCCGAGTCCTGCGCCAACTGGTGATAGTTCTAAGACAACAAGAGGCCGGTCAAGAGACCGATCAAGAGACCGATCGGAACCCCAGACAAGTTCTAAGACTCCAGCATCTGCACCCGAGAAGCCCAAGATAAATAGTGGTAAAAATCGCAGAGTAAGTCCCCATACTGATAAGGAGCGTGACATAAATAAGACTGGCGTAAACGTAGTAAGAAGCAAGGCGGAGGCCAAGAAGTGGAAGTTACCATAGTTGGGAGACAGGGAGTCGAGACTGCGGGCTGGTCGCTGGGCGTTTCGGTGTTTTGCATTTTTCCCTATGCTTTAGTTTAGAATTCAACTCAAGGTATTCCAAAAACATTGTGCAATGTAATTTACAACCTTTGAAGCCTGGCACACATCTTCAGTGCATCGATTGTGGAATGTCAGCTTTTCCAATTTGTGATCATTTTATTCTCGTGATAACTCATGATAGTGAGAATTAAGGGCAGCAAATACACTCACTTCATACACCACACCCGTAATAAATCACATCTGTCACTTACACAAGTTTGAGATATTTTCAAACTCTTCTTCTCCAACAAAATATGAGAAACTCTTTGATTAGAAACGTAGCATTAGATAGGAATAAAAGAACGAATGCTCGTCGAAAGCGGCAGGCAGAATTAGCGTAATCAAACAAAGTAATTATGCTTGCTTTTCTTTCCTCCCTTCAATTCAGGATCATCTATGGAAATACCGTAAATGAAATGAAATGTAATGGATTGCCAAATCGATGATTCGATATGGATACCTAATGTATCCTCTGATGAGCCATCGTTATAGGAATTCTCCAATTCGATTAATCAAATATGTGCTTAATACTTTCCTGGTCCTACTACTCCGCGTGTCACACTTCACAACCTTTGTAGCAATGCGATAGACATTATCAAAGTCTTACTCAAGGACAAGTGGCATATTTCCCGAGAAGAGGAAAAGAAAATGCGAGAGTAGCGGAGACGACGCGAACCAAGCTAACAATCATCCGAGGACTGAGAGACTGTCTCAACTGCGACAGTAGCTAAGACATCGATGTAGTTCTGTGCCCACCTAGCCAGCCCTATGTAGAACGGATGCAGATTTTTAGTACGCTTGGAAATATTTTCATCCGCCGGCTCTTGTAACAATCATAAAATACTATGCTGTCGAAATCGACCTAAAATCCGTCGCCTTCTTTTAATTGTGAGGCGAGGCAACATTGTCATAAAAAGATCAAAAACTAACACTCAGCAAGTAATGTCCTTTTGCAAATTGACAGATATGGGATTGTTTGTAATTCCATATCCTTTGAGACTTTCCCATGCTCTAGCTTCGAAGTCATATGAACAGGATTCGATCGAGTTAAAACAACCCAATATACGACTTTTGTTGCAAGTCGTCAAGTATGGAATTCCTCGGATTCCCCATGTTTTACATTGGGATCTCCATCTTCTCCAGACTTTCCCCATAAGAAAGTCCGCGAATTGGATAGCGATGATGTTCTATGATTGTAGGATTATCCTATCTCTTTCAGTCCTGAGTCGAGAGCTTTGGAGCTACAAGGACGGACTACTTGCAACATCGAAAGAATGTCTGGGACGGTTTTTATGAGATATTTGTGGGGACTTCAGTATACTTCCTGTGAAAAACGGTTACCGTATTTCCAGATGGAGTGCAGAGTTGAGGGATCAACGTCTCAACTAGCCCCAACGTATTTCCGGTGAAACGAAACCCACTTAGGCTGATCAACTATTCTTCGAACAGGCGGCTGAGAGAAGTTCTAAATTCAATGGCATGACTGAAAGTTGTTAAAATGAAAGTATAATAACGAAAGGATTTTCAGATCTTCAGATTTGATTTGATGTGTCCGATCTTTTACATAGCTCCAACATTCATAGGCACTGGCCTACGTAACCTTTTACTCTTCAAGTACCGAAGGAAATGTGGAGATAAGAAATAGGAGGATCTTGAAAGTAAACCTGAACCCATAGAATCGAATTATGCTAAACCGCATGACAGATGGTTACTACACTATGTAGGTTTTGTGATGATTATCTGATGGACAATCGATATATGTTCCTCTTCGATCTCGCGAAGTGTGTAGTAATAAAGAAAATTGTATGAATATAGATCAGCCTTGCCTTATCAGTGTTGACGTTTTACTTCAAAATCATGCAGTGTCAATGTATATCAGATGCTACAATTGATTAGTACACTGTCGATATCTTCTTAGTCTTGGACTTTTAGGCATCATGAAAGATAGCGGACGATCCTCTGGTCTCGAGTGTTGTCATCTGTAGCCAGTATTGTCACAGATGTGAGCAATTACACACAATGGTTACACAAGATACTACTCAATATATAAAATCTTTCAGCCAATGTTGCCTGCAACAGTAGAATATGGAAACCATAGTTATTAGCTGGCCAATAATAGATATCACGTGACATGCCAAGCAGTTCTCCGCTCTTGGGCGAAAGCAATGGCATACGATTGGCGGGTTCGTATCTTGGTGATCTTGGATGCCAGAAGATCAATAGGAGAATTGATCTGAATACAGTCAGGTAGCCATGCCCTTCTCAATTTCATATAGTGCTTGGCATTTCTTGATACAAACTCGAGACGCGTATTGCCGTCGAGGCGATGCATGCTTGTAGAGTGACCTCGGATACGGAATGCGATATACAGTATGCGAAGCTTTTGTTCACAATGCCAAGGATTCCAATTGGAGGTAGGATGTGCTGGACGAGCCACTGGGCGCGAGGGAGTGGTTTGATAGAAAGGCTGCTTTACAACGCATAAAGATACTGGTTGCTGTCGACGGTGTGGGAATCTTGAAATGTATGTAAAAATGGCGTTTTTCGTTTGAGGTTTAAAAAGATGTGCCAATTGACTTGAGGCCTTCTTGGAACGAACTTGGTTGGGCTTTTTAGTGATAACGTCTTAAATAACGTCCACCAGTGGTCTTAAGATAACGATCTTCCGTAGAAGCGGCACGACGCTGTCAATATGACCATTTGATCATATCACCGTGCGGGGAAGCGTTAACCACAGAAGAGGATTGATCTTCAGTCGGATGCAGATTGTTGCAGCCAGTAATCTGTTCACTTCGTATAGATTGATATGAAAGTACTTTGTAAAGTACCTCAGCCTCGAGCTCAGCCTCCTCCCATTAATCGTTAACCTTATTCGACTGCGCTAGTGGGAATCATGTCGGTAGACGGATTTTGCTCACTTCCGGCGGTTCTTTTTCCCAAACGAGACGAGTTGCTAAAAGTGGACATCACCGCGTTTTCGTCAACGATGTGCGCGATTTGTTTCGATGGAGAATTTTATCTAATTGCCATGTGGAAGAGAACGGCATCCGATCAGTTTTGTGCTTGGTGGGGGCTCTTCAATCGCATGCACTGTCAAATGCAAGGATTCTGCTTGATGCCTTTTGGCTGTAACAGAAAAGTTTCTGTTGATGGATTAGGTTCAAAAGAATATATACGATTATATTTGGTATGCCCTGGTGCCCTTTGAATACCGAATTTTGAGCGGGGAAACGGTCAATTGGAATTTCCGATCACGTTTTTGGAGTTGTGGAAAATGATTCCATGATAGTTACCGGTAGTTTATCTGCTAGATAGATATGCACATCTACCATCTGATCCAATGATGAAATCATAATTGGAAACGGTATGACAGGTATAGAAATAGTAATCACGGTTGGAATTCAATAACCAGCAAAAGAGCAAACTAATCCAGCATCTGGAAAAAAAATTGATTAATCGTCTGTATCAACAGTTATGGATAGAGCCGTCGGGACCTCTAGGCACGTCTAGCTAACTACCTAGGTAGCTCCAACTAAGTTTTTCTTCGTGCTAGTGATCGTGATCGTGATGGTGATCGTGATGACGATGACGATGAATGTTGTGTAGCTAGGTGTACATATGTATGATTTGCAATTGACACATCGATAAGGTACAAATCACCTGCGTGCATTGCTCTGTTGGCGTTGTGTCAAATAAACTTTGGGAGTGTGCTCGCGTTGATGGGAGGAAACTGATACCATTGAACGGAAAGATTGAGTCTCTCGGTTCGCTGTTTGTCGAGACTGTATGGTCGGCTGTATGGTCAGTAGGAACACTATAGTCAGTAGATTGATAGACAACTTCACGACCTCATGAAGCTCGTCAGATCTAACTCTGTCCATACGAACGGAGACTTGATCGGAACGTGAACCGGTTATTACGGACTTTTTTGATTTTCCATGAAAATTCTTGAAGTATAGCCCCACTGTATACTTTGCGTAATTCACCGCGGTTGGATACTAAGATGTGTCAGCCCTGTAGGAATGACATTCATGCGTGGAACGAAGAGAAATTTGAATAAAAAATACCTCAATTTTCGCTCGGATATTAGGATATAAGGATATATTCCAGCATGGTTATGCAACTTAAACTTGATTACCCACTGATTATCTATCAAGCCATTGCAGTCCGTAGATGTTTTGTCATCATCGACCATCACATCATGGTCAATGCTTGATGTAAGGGAGATTGAATTGAGTTCTCGAAGCTTTTGGAGCGTTTGGAGCTGTTGGATCTTTGGATCTTTTGGATCTCTCATATATATCAATTTTGTTCTATACCTGGGTAGGTACCTACTTCCGGATATTTAAAGTGTTCACGGGTGAGGGTGGATTTGAGGCCGGCTCGAGGTGGGATGGGATAACATCATGGATTTCAATGCTTACGAGATCAAAGTATCATCACCGTGTCCAGAGTACGTATAGATTCTCCTTCTAGAATCTAATACGGTCAGAAGAGGACATTAAAGCGGCAGTACTCCATTTCTTTTGCAAGTCTAACCTTATGCTATCCCTAGTAACTCAAGAGTCAAGTTTGACTTCGGTGACATGTAGTCACAAATTAGAGTTTTAAGTTCCCCTTTAGTCTAATTCATGAATCTAATTATGCCCAACTGATGTTCATGATGATGATGTGTGTAAAATTACGATGGACGACGAATATACTCACATTGAAAACATACCCTATTGGTCTTAAATCATTCATTCTTATCATTCAAAATTGGCACCACCAATGCCCTGTTCTGTTTGACTATCATGAACCTTTTTTCCCACCCCTTTACCCTTCACCCTTCATCCCTTCATTCCAACATTTTGGAGTGATGCGAGAAGCGAAAAATGCAATTCCTTTATATTTCCATATAACCATTTATATTGATACCGAGTTACTTCCAACACCAATCCTGGTAATCTCATCCGTCCCCAACGTCGAACCTGAATACACGAAAAGTCCATATCCCGCAATCCATTCGATGCCAATCTTGAATCGACTCTACGGAGTGTAGGAGCTTGGGAGAACCCATGCATGATTACTTATTTTACTTTATTTGACTGCGCGGACTTAAGGATTCAATCCGAATGACTGGGATCCAAGAGTCTAGGACTTTATCGGCAAGGGGACGCGCCTTCTTTTCCACCGGACCACCTCACATAATCAAAAATATCACCCGCCGTTTCGGTCGACGGGTATAAGGTTTCCTTCCAGGTCCGCCATTAGATATCAAAAGGCGCCTAGCACTTGGGGTTCCCATTTTTAATTATTTTCATATAATTAACGGTCGACCTTTCCAAGTGATACATAGTTTATAATCACGCATAATCCCACAATTGCATTGCATGTCATTTCGACCTTATAAATCTTTAACTTCAAACTTACTTAGTACTCAGTAGCATCTTATTAGTTTCTATACTCTCGGAAAAGTCTTCCACAGCTTTTCTCTGGAAACACTTCCATTCTTTGAAAACCCTCATTGATGATCACTCCATTTGGGATTTCAATTTCAAGATGACTAATTCCGACGACATAAATCACCCGAAGGGTTCAAAACATGTGGTACGAAAGCGCAAGAGAGAGGGTAAGTCTGGTGGACAATTAGTTCCTACATCTCCCAGTGAAGCTGGCAAACGACATAAAAGAGCTACGAGAGCATGTGAGCGTTGTCGCAATAAAAAGATAAAAGTATGTATATCATCGTATAAAGAAATTTGTCTTTCAAGTTCTAATCATACAACAGTGCGATATTGAACGTGATATTGCTTGCAATGCCTGTGTCGATGCCAATGTGATATGCGAGTCAGGTAATGGAAAGCATACGGAAATCAAAAAGTATCCTCCAGGGTGAGTAAATTTCCACAGTCGTACAAAACGGCATCTGACATATAAACTCAGATACACTGAGTGCTTAGAACATAGTAATCAGGCCATGATACTTGTCACCGACAAGCTCTGGCGCATGGTAAAAAATAGAGAGGAATGGACTTTTGCAGAGCCTAGGATGAAGGACGGAGGAAAAGGACCTGTGGTTATTCATGATATAGCTCAGGCACTCGGATGTATACGCAATGCACCTGGACTTCCAGAAAACTTCATTGAGGACGCCCCAGCTCTACTGGCTCGATTATCAGCAGAATCTTTAGCAGAAGAGAGATCGCAACTTGAGCAGGGGAGCCAGACCGAAGCCACCAGGTCTAGCGAAGAGGCAGCTTCACCGGAATCTATCGAGGAAGAAACTTCCCCAGAAACTCCACCAACATTTTCCCAATGGCTTCCTTTACCGATTTATCAGTCAGACTCATTTACTCCTTTACCAGAGACAGCGCAGCGTTGTTTAGATGAGGCTTCTATTCAACCCCAGCAGCAATCGGTTAACCAAGATCGAAAACTAGACAATTCTAGGATTTCACATGGACCCACGATTAAGTCAGCAAGTACGAGCCAATTTTCAAACGTCAATGTGCTTGTAGGAAACATGATGAATGATTCATCAAACTTTCCGGCGAGGGAGTCATTCAGCAATCGAAATACCGCGGCAGTGGATGTCCGTCGAGCACCTGGACTAAAAATACAGCCACAGCCTTATAACTCTCAAGAGCAACCAGCATTATCTGCCTCGTCTACAGTATCATCGTTCTCTACCACACATTATACAAACTCACCATTACAGTCTATCAACTCAACATTCTCACCTGTTTACCAGGCAAGCACACCATTATCATATTCTGAACATTCTGATCAGTTCCACACTTCGTCATCTTCATCGCCATATCTTTCTCACTTGCAAAAAGATCCATGTCTATCCCCTAGTCCGGCTCTTGACGACTTCTCGAATCCACAATTCTACGATCCCGACATGTTGTTATTCAATACCCAAGGTGCTGGTAACTCTTTCGACGAAGCATCTTACTTAACATCGAATGATCTCATGTTTGCCACGGGCTTTGATGAGCCAGTCGGGGACTTTTCATCTGTAGATGAATCTTACCGCCAGGATTTGTCAAATTACTAAAACGATGAGTGTTCTTCGGACAGAACGGTTTGCGACTTACAATGTAATTTTTCGGAGGGTTTCCTGGTAATCACCTGGATCTACTGTATTCACCATGGGAGCGGTTTCACTCTCACTTTACTATGGTTTAAGACGGAGGATTTAAAAAGGTCACGATTCATGGATTAAGGAGTTATAGGAACAGGGATATATATACCAGGGCGTTATTGTTAATTGGTTGAATATGTGGGATCCTAGGATTGACTTGGGAATGATAGACGACATGTATATTTTAGAGTTGCGGCAAAGCG